AAGTTGTTGAGATCACGAACAGGGTCATCATCTGGATGTTGTCAGAGACAGAAAAGAGGAGGATTGAAACGACCATAGCGCACCGGCCATTGTAAGTGAAAAAATGCTATGAGTTTCGATGCTGGCAAGTGGATGTCTCATCGAGACTTAAATACGAGTTAGTACCGCGAGCTGGTCCCCAGCGCATGTTAAACACCGGAATGGGACCTGGCGCCATACGCCCCAGTAATCCTACATCCAAGGCGTCTCACAGGCTTGATTCTCGAAAACTGCGACTGAAGCACAGCGAGCGCGACGAGATCCAGGGTAAGAGACGTCTCGGGCCGATGTGGGGATTTACGACGGCTTAGCGTTCAACCACACACTAACTTAGCACTAGCCAATCCGAATACAGAAAATAAAAAGGGTTCCAGAGTACAGCACCGTTTCATTCCAACGACCTGTGCGTCTCAGAGAGGGAGATGGGCGTTCCGTGGATCACGATGGCTTGCGAGACCTCCGTGCGCAGCTCTAAAGATCCGGAGCCGCGCACCAGGGTAAAGAGTCACGAAAATCATTGATGAAGTGCTTGCAGTGTCACTGGAAGTGCTCCTCTTCAGTTACTTGATCCATGTGGGTCCATGTAGATCCGGACAGTACCACTCCAGTACACGACCTGGGCCGCCGAGCCAGAAAAAAAGAAAGGATCGGAACGAAATACACAGGATGCTGGGTGAGATCATCCTAGGGCTGAAGAAGGTCGCGGTCGCATCAGTCACAGAGGAATGCGGCATCGGGCCGTGTGAAGTAGTGTAGGAGTGGTGTAGGAGTGGTAGTAGTGCTTGTTTGTGACCGGGTGAGTGGTGCGCCGGAAATCCGGAATGTGCCGACTCTCGAAGCGGTATCAACGAAGTTCTGAACAAGACCGCATTCCTGCTTAGACGCCTTCGCATCGATCTCGGAACAGCCAATCCATCTCGAGCCCGAGTCATATCCTACCACTCGCACACCAACGGAAGCCGAGCCTGAGCAAGAAACATAATGAACTAGATGGCAATCGGAGTCACTCCTGGCATAGTAATGTACGTGTCTCCAAACAAAGGGTCTATCTATGCACACCGCCTTGCTGAATACAGGGGCATCCCTGACTTAAGAGTAATGCTATCGCTTCTGAGTACCCCACAAAGGGTCGCATTTCTGGAGGGTTTTCAAATACTGCAGAGCCTTATTAGCATTGGCAGCATTGACGTCGTTAATTGCACTTCCGTAGCCAGTACTCCGGATACGAACTGCGCAACTCAGCACTCAGTTGTCAAAACGATCGAAAGGGTCACATCTAGCGCCAACATGATAGATCTTTTCATGATCGGGGCCCTCTTCTTTCGTGGACCATGAAAGTGCACGAAGTTGCCATGGGGATATTTGTAGCGTCGAAGATGGTCGTTGAGCGCGCCTACATGGTCTGAATTGCGTTCTCAACGCCTGGGATGTCGGATAGATGAAAGCGTAGCTTACCCATGACAGATGCGAGGATGTAGCGGTGATGTGAATAAGTGAGTGTTGGTTTGTACCGATGGGTGAAAGCTGAGTATGCAGATGAAAATGGTTACTTGTGCAGCCACCACGCCATTATATAGCACCCCAACCGTACTCAGCTGGGACCTGAGAACAATAGCTCGTAGTAGCGCTTGGGTCCCTTGCTCAGGCCATGCGATGTAGCATTATGCCATCCAGGAGGGCACCTCGTTACCCCTGGTAGAACATGCCGCCTTAAACCCATAATCTAAGACTAGAGCGTTATAGCCCGAATCTGAGAGGCTGCAAAAGTCGGTGCTATACGGGAGCTTTCAGATAGAACGGTGCGTGGATGGTGTTTCGTGGATTGTATAGCGTCATTCCGAGAGGATGGCGATGGGGAAGACACAGCTCGTGTTGGGCTCAAAGGCAAAAGGTTCGCGGATGAGAATGCTATGCCATGTGTAGGAATCTTGTCTCGTGTTGCACGTGATGCCATGACAATGGCATACTGTAGCGCTGGATCTGGAAAATGTTATGTGTCCGGCAAGAAATGCAACCGCATGCGGGGCCAGCTGTAGTGAAGCACTAGTGAAGCACGCAGCCGACGTCCGGTTTTCTTGCTGCAAGGAAAATGCGTGGCAAGGGCCCCAAATATCGGTTTCGTCAACATGACAACGCTGAAATCTGTACTGATATTACCAACGCCGTGAGTACTGTGGTCATGTCTGAGTGATAGTGACGCTGACGCGTACACCTGTGAGCTTAAGGTCACCAAGCTTCGCTATTGGCACACGGCCAATACTCGTAAACATGTGCCAAACACTATGAAAAGCTAAGGACTAAGATGTCCAGTTTGTTCGTAGTGCATACTAGTAGAATATTGAGGATGCCCGAATAAGACAACAACCTAGGCACTGTGACATTGCAATGACTACTACCTCAATAATAATACGAAGCTCACCGAAGCGTGCTGCCTCATTCCCATCGTAGATTTTTATTCATGCCGGTTGTGAAGGTTGTGAACTGACGCCCCGGTCACGTGTGGATTCTGAGGATATTCTACCAAGTTTAACTCAAGTTACTATCAACGCCTTCCCTTCTGAACGTTCTGAACAGTTAAATCGATCGCGAGCCTGAGTCTCATATAATGCACGTTCAATCTACGTATTTCTACCCTCCGCATACCAACTGAAGCCAAGCCCTGAACAAGAAACAAAATGAACCAGGTGGTGTAGCAGGGATGTCAGTGCCAGTGTCCATCTATCTATTCTATAAACACCATCGCCTTATTGAATACTGGGGCGTCCCTGAATTAAAAGTAAAGCTATGATTACGAAGCAGACGAAAAAAGTTGTCTTTCAGGGATGGTTTTCAGATACTTCAGGGCCTCTTTGGCAGCAGTTTGTTTGGCGGTACTTTTGTCAGCGGCTCGTCCATAGCCAATATTCTGCTTACGAACTGCACAACTCAGCACCCAGTTGTCAAATTACAGAAAGGCTCACACTTAGCGGTAACGTGGTGGATCTTTTGATGATCAGGACCCTCGTCTGCCTCGTGCCATGACAGTTGGGGCGTCAAGTTGCCACGGTCTTTGTTGCCTTGAAGGAAGTTGTTGAGGTCACGTACAGGGTCTGTCCGGTCCGAATTGTATTCTCGATTCCTGGGACACTGCACGATGAAAGCGTAGCTTACCCATGGCAGATGCGAAGATGTAGCGACGATGTGAATAAATGAGTGCGGATTTGTACCGTTGGGTGAAAACCGAATATGTAGATGGTTACTTGTGCGCCCACCACACTCCGTTAAATACTAAAGGTCCCATAGCCAACCGTGCCCAAGTGGACCCAAGTACACCAACTTATAGTGGTGCCAGTGCCCTGAGAGTCTAACACTCTAAGATTTGTTGATGGGCATTCCCAGAGGCTAGAATCCTCTGGCTGGTTCTTGTTGCCCGGGCGATGCGATGCAGTAATACGGCACCGGGGTCTCTGTCAGACAAGGAAGGTTCCGGGTAGAATGTGCCCTAAACGCATGATCTAAGACCATAGGATAACGACTCAAGGATTCGACTTCTTGCATAAATCTCCCGCGGGGACCGGAGCGCTCTGACTGTCATGGCCCGAATCCAAGAGGTTGCCGGAGTAGGCCCTATTCGGGGACTTCCAGATATAACGTTGCATGGATGGTATCTCAAGCCTGCATAGCATCATTCCGAGAGCGGGAAGACACAGCACAGCTTGTGTGTGGCTCGAAGGCAAAAGGTTCGCGGACGAGAATGCTACGCCAAAGCCATATCCACTGTAGAACATGTTTGCACGTGATGTCCACCCTGTATGACGCTGTCTAGCAGACAATAGCAGCAAGATCAGGAAATGATGGAAGATGCTATGTCCGGAAGAACAAGACGTCCCAAATATTGGTTACGTAACTGTCATGGATTTCCCACGGGTAGAATCAACGCGTGTGTACCAAGGTTGGTCACCAGGCTTCGCTAATGGCCATTGGAAAACTGTGAGAACCCAAGGACCCGTAAGATGTCCGGTTGTTCGTAGTACATAGAATATCGAGGGTACTCGAATAAAACAATACGCGACAACAACCTCGGCACTGTAACATTACAATGACCACTACCCGAATAGTAATACAAGGCTCACCGAAACGACAAGTGCGCAGCCTCACTCCCATCATAAAATTTCTATCATTCCTCATACCCCGGCGGTGCATCTACGGGCGTGCCCCCTCCACGTGATGGGCCCTGTGAAGGCGATGCATATGCGGCTGACCACAAGATTAGAATGCATTATTATAGCACGGGAAAGATGTCATCGTACGGAGAGTATCCTCCTCATCTTTTATCTGCCTTCTCATGTATATAGCACGTTCTCGCGTCTTCTCCAACAAGCTGACGAATTGAAAGATGCCCTCGTTCTTCAAGCGGATCTCCGATTTAGTGCCAGAAGTGAGTCCGCCATCAGGAGATGGCCGAATATCGATAGACAGATAGTTGGAACCCAAGTATGGCTGTTCAAACTTTGTTGACAGTATGGATTCGAATGGTAGATTGAGTGTGTTGAATCCTGTGTTGGTACTGTCACCCCCCGAGACGAAAATTAACTAAGAATCCGTGTCCGCATGAGTTCTTCAAAATCAGCATCAGCTTCGGGAAAACGCACACGATGATCCGTCAAAAACAGTTTTCCTGTTCCGTTCAGTTTACGCCCACCGCCAGACCCACCGGAAGGCGAAGAACCGGCTGGTGGTACATCTGGAATGGTAAGGGAAACTTCTGCACCGGATTCCACTGTCATGATAGTAAGCTCCCCGGGTAGAGGCACTGGGGTACGGTCAGGTTTGAGCATCGTCCAGTTGAGAGCCATCGCTGGAGTGGAACGGGGTTGATCGTGATCGTGGAAGGATAGATATGGCTGGCTGCGAGGTTCGGACCACGGCTATCTGATCGTAATCTGAACGGTCATTTATACAACCGTAAGGTGCTTCATTAAGGCTACCTGGCGCAATGGTAGCGCGTTTGGCTTCGATTGCCAACGGCACCAAAAGGTTGCAGGTTCGAGTCCTGCGGTGGTCATTTTTTTCCATCAGCTTTAATGAAATGCTTGTTTTTTTTATTCGGACGCGTATAGAACCTTTTGCAATCTTTTCTAGTACGGGTAATTACAGTATACAGTAAATTGTAAGTCTACTTGTGGTGCTGTTCCGCACGTGATAGCGTGTCGCGAGTCGCGTCTCAGTCACTCACAATTGCAATGCCACAAGCACCGCTCAGTTCACCATATATATCTCCTATCGCGAGCGGTTTAATTTGGTGTTAAACGTCATGGACCTGCTCAGAGAAATGTCTCAACACTCGTCCAACCCCCTCGAACTTCCTTCCTCAGATGTGCGAAACAAAGTAGCACTGCAAACATATCGCAAGGCTCGAGCAATGTCCGGAAACCAACGCGACTCGGACGAGCCAGAAGATGAGCTCGAGGTTTCTGACCTCAAAAATTATCAAAGACACATCGCAGGGCTTCTCCAGGATCGGCCGCCCGCGCAAGCTCAGTACACCACGCGAAGGAACACGGGTTCAGAATTACTCATTGACCTAGATGAAGACATGGACGATGACAAGGAGCAAGACTGCGATGGCGAAAATAGCGATGAATATGATGGAGACAGTGGCGTAGACGCCGACGCCGCTGCCGATATCGACGAGGAAATGACTCTGTACCTCAAGTCGCGGGAGGAGCAGGAGGAGATCAGGCTCGAAATTGCAGACCTGGAGGAGGCAGTCCCCGCCATCACGCACGACTACAAGCTCATTGACCGCCTCGGCATGGGCACGTTTTCGTCGGTGTACAAGGCTATCGACCTCGGGTATCACGAAAAGTGGGACAACACGGTGTGGCACGGCCTACACCCCGCCGGTTCGTCCGCGCACTACCAATCAGTGCCGCCGCCGCCCTGCACAAAGGTTTTCGTCGCGATCAAGCGCATATACGTGACGAGCAACCCGGAGCGGATACGAAACGAAATCTCCATTTTGGAAACATGTCGGGGTGCGCGACACGTGTCACAACTTATCACCGCCTTTCGACATGAGGACCAGGTCGTCGCGGTAATGCCCTACCATCCGCACGAGGACTTTCGTGTGCGTCCGCGCGTATCAGAGCTTGCCTCATCTTTTTCAACGCTGATCAAACTTTCAGTCATTTTACCGCACACTTCCGATGTCCGGGATCCGAGCGTACTTCAGATGCATGTTTCGTGCGTTGCGGGACATTCATGCGCGGGGCATCATCCACCGCGACATCAAGCCTGCCAATTTTCTCTTTGACCCTCACAAAGGAGTAGGAATGCTGGTCGACCTCGGCCTGGCCTGCGTGAGTATGTGTCTTTCCCTGAAAATTGAGGGCTGAAATGAATGCTTGTTTTATTTAGCGCATGGGCGTAGAGCCCCCCGTACATTACGGTAAATGTCTGCACACTGCGCCAACAAGGGAGAACCCACATGGCCGACTACGGCGTGCAGCTGAATACAACTCGGAGTTCGTCAGGAAGAAGCAGAAGGACGCGCGAATGCGCAGCGGATGGGCTTCTGATAGAGTGGGTTATCTAGAAAAGGATACAAGGTATGCATACCATGCTGCGCCTGAATCCCGGTCTTACTGAATTTCACAGACCTCATTCAAGAGCTAATCGAGCAGGCACGCGAGGATTTCGCGCGCCAGAGGTACTTCTGAAGTGTAACGAGCAAACGGGGGGTCTGTTGTAGCGCGTCTTATAATCAGGGGTGCATCTTTTCTGACTATGTTTGTCCTGTCAGCTATCGATATGTGGTCCGCGGGCATGATACTCCTCTTCTTCTTGGTTGGAAAGTTCCCGCTTTTCCAGTCCAACGACGACGTCGAAGCGCTCCTGGAGATAGCGTGTATTATCGGGCGCCGAAGGATGGAGAAAGTGGCAACGCTACATTGTGAGCGCTTGCCAGAAGCCCATGCGGCGCAGTAATATTAATTGGATCCTACAGCCCGAACATTCACCACAAATATCCCATCGATTACACCAGAAGGAAAACCCTGGCGCGAACTCGTAGAGACGCTGAATCCGAAGCTGCGGGAACGGACGAAAGATGACACGTGCCCGAACCCCTACAACACCAGTGAGGCATCATCTGGGGGGGGATCTTATCCCCCGCCTCCTTCATCTTCATCACCAGATCCAGATGCAGATTCAGGCGAGACACACTGGCCGTCCGTACTCGGAGACGTTCAAGATCACGAAACGGACATAGAACAAGCGCTCGATCTACTCGAACGATTGTTGCACCCAGAGTCGATTAAGCGTATCACGCCGCGGCAGGCCCTATACCATCCGTTTCTACACGACAGCGGGGAAGAGAAAGGTGACGACGCATTCTTTCCACACCCATTCGGAGAGGGTGTCTGTGGAGAATGGCATTTTATCGACCCTGTAACGGAAGAGTTTCGAGTGCGTATCCGGACAGAAGAGGGGAGCACAAGCGTGATACCAGTGATGGCAGGCGAGGGGATGGCCATGGGGGATGAGCCGTGTGAGTTTCATCAGGGAGAGGACATGTTCGGGTCACTGGACGAGTAATTAGGAGCATCCTTAAATTATTTGTTATAATGGTCTTGGAGGGATCGAACGTGCGGTGTAGTGGTGAGAGTGTTTACCGTTGTGCCAAGTTTGGCGAGAAGTGTTAAGCGGCCCTGGAAGTGGCTGCGACGAAATCGATCAGTCCGAATGGGTCGTTCAATGCGAGCAAGGTAAATGTCGACGACGACGACGTCCACCCCGACCGATTCCGTTCTTGACCAGCTAGCTCCTCTCGTCATCGTCCTCGTCGTTCCCCTTCTTGTCCTCTACGGTCGAGACTACTTTAGCGACTTCGCCTTCCACATGATTACCGTCGCCAGTGCGGCGCTCCCCTGGAACTGGACATCATTATATGAACATGGATCCGTCATCTCCAAGCCCAAGAAGAAACACCCCGTCCGTACTCGCGCGGAACAGTTGGCCGCGAGGACCGATGGCCGCCCTGGTGCGTCACCGTCAAACATTGTATGTTGCGCCCAGGCAGACTTTGAACATCCCTTTCCAAGTCACCAATGACGCATCGGAAGGCGAGAAGGGTCTATTCTACCCCGGCCTCGTTAATATTTCGGGTACGTATTGCTTCATGAACTCCACTATGCAGGTACGCTGCCCTCCACTCGTCCGTTCCAGTCGGCACTTAATCATACTATTCCGCATGCGTCACAGGCACTCGCCTCTCTCTCTTACCTACAACCACACATAGACGCCATCCATGCCAAAGCCGAGGCGGTCGACATACCCACACCAGTCGTCGACGCTTTGTGCGACCTCCTCCACGGTGAGATATGCCCTCCCCTTCCTGGTTACTTTCCCAACACACATGACCCCCAGGCTTGAACACCCCTTCCTCTTACTCCCGTTCCATCCGCCCCGTCGAGATGATCGCAGCGCTTTCGCACCCCGAGCCAGGCCGACGCATACCGCTCTTCTCGTCACGTGAGCACCAGGACGCGCAAGAGCTCTTCCAACTCGTCTCGGAATATGTCAAGAAAGAGGCGACCGCCGTTGATCGTGAGGGCGCGCGCGACCTCGGATTTGGTGCGCTAGCATCTCTTTCGTCTTCTTCATCCGCGGCCTCGGCCACGGCGAGCGTCGACGTATCCAAGGGCGTGTTCGACGGCCTCACTGCGAACCGTCGGAGTTGCTGTGAGTGCGGCTACACTGAGGCAGTCATGCACTTTCCATTTGACAACTGGCAACTCACCGTTCCCCGTGTCGTGCGTCTGTTTCCTTTGCCTCCCGCCGCATTTCTCCTAGGCTGAGCTGCAACATATCGCAGGCGAGCTGTAGACTCGAGGATTGCCTCATGGAGTACACACGTTTGGAAACCTTGACGGACTGCATCTGCCGCAAGTGCTCAATGCGCATGACTCTTCGTAGACTGGAACAAGACGCAGAACGGCTCACTGCCGAGGCAGCCAAGTCGTCTGTATCACAGTCGAAAAAGAAGCGCCTACGCGAGGTCAAGCGATTCGCACTTCGCCTTAAAACTGCCCTTGAAGAGGGCCGGATTGAGGAAGATATCAAGGGTATCAAGATAGAAAAGGTGTTCTCCCGAGCTTCAACGAAGCAAGCCATGGTCGCGCGGGTAAGTAAACGTTGTCTTAGTCGTCATCGAGGCCCTGTCTAATCCAATCCACGCTCAGCCTCCGCCTGTACTCGCGCTGCACCTCAATCGCTCCGTGCATTTCGGTACATACGCATCCAAAAATACTGCGCGCGTGCACTTTCCAGAAGCGCTCGACCTCACGCCATTCACGACTTCAGGCATGCTCTCCACCTCACCCTCGTTCCCCATCTCCTCGCACCTGCACCTGCCCTCCCCCACCGCAGCCGTCGCAGCCGCCGCTGCGGCCGCCAGCTCTCTAGCCACGCAAACGACCAAGGCGTACGGCCACAACCCTGCACCACAACCACCACGCGTGCTGTACCGCCTTGCAGCGGTGGTGTGCCACTACGGCCAGCACTCATTCGGGCACTATGTCTGTTTTCGGCGTAGACCGCGCGGAGCGGGGCGCGCCGGACCCCCACGGCTGGATGACGGATTCCCTGCGGTGCCGGGGAGGGGTTGGTTGCGCGCGAGTGACGACGCCGTACGCGAGGTCGGCATCGAAACTGTGTTGCAGGAGGGATCTGGCGCGTTTATGCTCTATTACGAACGAGTACGGAACGAGGATAGGGATAAGCTATCCGTGCATTCGTGGTCCCCACATTCCCGGGCGGCAAGCGATGACGCTGGTAACGACGGCGGCGCGGGGGAGATCGACGGTACTGACAGTGCTGGCGATCAGGAGAAGACACGGACGTACCTTTCGCAGGAGGAGGTGAAATGTGAATCGGGCGAGGAGGTAGATGGGATGGAGGTGGAGGTGGACGAGACTCCGGTGATCAAGGCTCGCGTCGTGCGGAGTGTGTCGCTCGGGCGAGGTGATGACTTCGACGGTGCATCGGTGTCGGTCAAGCAGG